TAATATATATATATATATATATATATATATATATATAATTATATATATATATATACTATTATATAAAAGTAAATATTTATATATTAAAATATTAAATACTTTTATATATTAAAATATTAAAAAATTATAAGGATCGTGATATTTATTAAAATCTTTTTTATTTTTTAGTCACCATCGGTCAACTATTACAGATCAACCTATCTGTAATATGTCCCTGTTTACCGAAGAAAAAATGCGTAGAAAATTAAAATTTTTTTTTATGAATCCTATTGAAAAATGGCAAGCAAAGCGTCGTTTTCCATATAAATTTATCGTACAAGTTATTAAAATTTTGTTAGTCACGATACAATTGTGTTTGTTTGCACATAACAATTACATTCATGTAAATTATACTTGGGATAATCGAATAGCTTTCTCACATCTATTTCTCAGAGGATGGGATAGTTCTTTAGAGGTAAGATATTATTCGATCTATTTATTTTTTTTAAATATTGCAAAAATTAACATTAAAATATATATAAAAATAAATAAATATAATAGATAAAAATTATACATTTGATTATTTTTATTTTCAGGTACCTGTTTATCCACCAGTAACAGGCCCTCTGGCAATTTATAAACGAGATGATTTCTATAATACAATTGATTATGCTTTAGATGGTTATTATAATCTTAGTAATGCAGTTGGATCTTATTCGTATATTGCAGAAGACAATTCAGTTGGCCCAGTTATTCTATGTTTATATCAATATAAAGAAGGTATTATATTCGGTTTTAATGAAAGTTATGTTTTTGATAAGGAAATCATTGAAACTTGCATAAATATAACTGATAAGACTTATACTGAATCTAATAAATCAAAATTATTATTATTTAAGCAAAATATTAAAGTGAATTTTTCAGCACTTGTTAGAGCTCATTTAATATTTGCTTTGAAAACGGTTAATTTGAAAGCTGCAGGACCTATGACACCTCCTGATTGTTATCAATTTAATATTAAAATTAATTTTGATAATCGTGATTTTGATGGACAAATGTTACTTTCATTAGATGCTGAACCAAAAAGATTGCAATGTAAAGGTGATACACGTTATGTAACAGATAATCGTATTGAATCAGCTTTAAGGACATTATTAAATTTATTTGTAATTTTAATTTGTACTGTATCTCTTGTATTATGTTCGAGAGCTATATATAGAGCACAGTTATTAAAATTTGAAACTATGAATTTCTTCAAAAAGGCATATGGTAAAATATTAAGTCTTGAAGGAAGATTAGAATTTTTAAATCTTTGGTATGTTATGATCATTGTAAATGATCTTTTAATTATTATGGGCTCAGCTATAAAAGAACAAATTGAGCGAAAACAATTTGGCAGTGATCATTGGAATATATGCAGCATATTTCTTGGTACGGGAAATTTACTCGTTTGGTTCGGTGTATTAAGATATCTTGGTTTCTTTAAAACATATAACGTTGTTATTCTAACGTTGAAAAAAGCAGCCCCTAAAGTAGCACGATTTTTGATATGCGCAATTCTTATTTATGCGGGTTTCACATTCTGCGGTTGGTTAATTTTAGGGCCATATCATATGAAATTTAGATCACTTGCTACAACTTCCGAATGTCTTTTCGCACTTATTAATGGTGATGATATGTTTGCTACATTTTCGGCAACGTCATTCAGCAAATCACCGATGTTATGGTGGTATTCTAGAATGTATTTATATACATTTATTTCATTATACATATACGTGGTTTTAAGTTTATTTATTTCTGTGATAATGGATGCTTACGATACGATCAAAATTTATTATCGTGATGGTTTCCCAAAAAATGATTTGCAAACTTTTATTGCGGCATGTACGGACGAAGCGTCTAGTGGTCTTTATAAAGATGATTCTGAAGATAGTGATTTATCAGAATTTATAGATCGCTTTTGTTGTTGTCGGAAAAGACCCTTTTATGGGTCATTCTCAGAATCAAGTACAAAATTGTCGACAAAATCGGAACAAACATGTGGAGGAGCAATCTGTATATAGTGCATTAAAGGATAATAATGTTTTGAATAAAGATTATGGTTCCATGGCAGATAGACGGTATTATTATAATAATAATTTTAGCATGTAAAGTATTATTTGTACAAATGCAACATTGCATTTTTTTCTTAAATGCTATAATTAAATGCTGCCATTTTTATATATCATGTAAATACTAACAAAAATGAATGATTTATTTTATCTATATATATAGAATAAAATATTTTATTAAAAATTTCAATATTTACGAATTAGACATATAATAATAGCAATGTTATTATTGTTTATGTATATAAAATATTAGTGTATTAAAATGTTTTTCCTGATGTTTGTCAGTAACTTTTTGTAATATAAAGTATATATATATATATACATATATATAAACTTAACATATATTTCTTATTAAACATCACTTACATATAAGATAAAACTATAGCATGCCAAAGTCAATAATGCACAGTTTCATATATGTATAAGAATTTACAGTTATTATTTCTTGAAATGATTAAACAAAATTAATTTTAAACTTATATAATTATAAAAAAAATTATAAAAAAATTATTTCCTTGTTAATAATGCAATAGAATAAAATGTAGGGTTGTGAAAAAAAAGAAAATATAATAATTAACATGTCATAAAATTTTTAATGTACATGTTTCCAATATTGTATATTTTATATTATATGCATTCTATGTAATATCTATATGTGATCTCTAAAAAAAAAAAAACGTGCCTCATTTAGGAAAAACAAATATAATTATTAAGTAAAATATGTTTATAATATAATATAAGATGCAATAAAATCATAATTTTTTAAATATTTAATATTTTTTTTTTTTTATATTTTCCCTGTAATATGATAGTTAACAATAAATCAAATAGATTATCTTTACCAGTTATCATCAATTATATCACTTATGTGTGATATAAATTTTGAAATATTATGCATATAATAAAATATAAAAATTTTATAACCTAAAACTTGTGTTTAAAAATTATATATAAAAATTTACGAATTCTATAAACAGCAATAAATTTAAAAATACATAAATTCTTTTTATCTTTAAATTAATAAACTAATCATCGAAATATCTTATATTTTTTGTTACGAAAGAAATATTATTTATTTCATTTTATTTTTATTAATAAAAAAAATTATAATTTTATTTATGTACAAGATATTAATCTATAATTATTTTATTACAGTATTAACCATAAATGGCTCATTTATTACTTTGAAGTATAGTATTATTTTTTTTATTTGAGTTTATTACATATAGAACTTTGGTAAATGGAGTGCGCTGACCTAAGAAACGAACAGAGCTGGTCACTGACCGTACCTAAACGCGAATCACTGTTTACATCCAGTTTTACA